GGCCAACTGGTATGTCTTGGCAAGTGAGTCCAACGTGGGTGCCCCAAGAAGCCATATAGTGTAAACTCTGTAAAAGCGCAAAAATACGCCCTCATAGAGTTGGTGCAGGCACACCTGGTATCCAGCCCATCATTGGTCTGGTAGGGAGTCGAACAATTCTTTTGCAAAGACCTTGACAAACTCCCAGTATTGATCTAGAATTTTCCCCTTGGTCATTCTCTGCTTCTGCTACAAATCTCTGCACTGGCATTTCCTTCAGCCGTAGATCCACCTCCTTCCCAAAGTCGACCACCAGGATTGATTTTCCTTCTTCCAATTCTGATGCACACCTGTCCACGTCAACCAAATCCATCTCGACCATTGCTTGGTGTTCCTTGTGACCCCTCATGTGGCACTGCTCTGGACATTGGCTGAATTTCATTGTTTGTTCCTGCCAATCCACCTTGGGGTTGTGCTCCATCAGCCAATCAAGACCAATGAAGATCCAGGCTTTTCTCAGACATGTCAGGAGGAACGTGCGTGTCTCCACATGAGAACCAATTCTCATCCTCAAGTTGACATAATGCATGATCCAACCGCTGATGCTTTTGGTGTTGTTGGTGTTATAAGCCACAATGGATTGCAGAACCTCCTGGATATCCAATTTCTCTGCTTTTGCATAATTGGTATTGATGCAACAGGTACTTCAACCACTATTAAGCAGCGCCTTGACTCTGCGCATTTTCCCTGAGTCCAGGCCCATGATCTGGACATATACGTCCATTGAATGCCTTTTCCTCTCTGCCTGGTAGTTGCGCAACTCCTGTGCCAATCTACTGGGCTGGGGGCCCTTCTGTTTCTTGGCCACCAATTTCCTCTAGATGGAATCTAGCACCCTTGTATGTTTAGGTGCTTCTGGAACCTTGATTTTGGCAGATTCCTTAGGCACTTCCTCCTTTTCTAAGGATTGAGCCTCCAGAGCAATGCTCCCCTTTTCGGTCTTTGTTGATGTGGTTCCTTCTACATGAGCCATAAATAAGCAAGAGTCCAAAATTAATTTATCCACAGTCTTCTGATCCTTTTTATCTTGTAAATATTTTCTATTCAGAGCTATTTTTCCTTGACATTCTTTTCCATATCAGCAACAAGAAAATTGTGAATATTGGTACGTAGTGAGTCTGAGATTGTATATGTATGAGGAAAATTGTTCGTATCTTTAATCAAAACAAGTACAGAAAAATGTCCATAGTCCAGACGCTCCACCTCCTTGGCTAGAGGAGTGGAGCATTTCAAAAACCCTTTTTGCGCAGCTTCTCAGCAATCTCCTTGAGGAACTTGTTGTCCTTGTCCCCGTTCTCAATTTCTTCAAGCATCGTGGCCTGATTGAAGAATGTGCACTTCTTTCTTGGCTCTGGACAGTTCCGCGCCATGTGCCTGAGCTGCTGACAGTTGTAGCAGATGATATTGTGGCCACGGGCGTGGGTGCAATTGATTTCCATTGGAACTGGTTCATTGGCAGCCAGTTGGGCTGGAGCGGGTGCAGGTGCTGCTGATGCAGCCTGAGGATGGAGTTGGGGGGGTGGTCATAGCATAGGATGTCCATAAGATGCCTTGTGCAGCTGGTTACACAGACTGTTCACCTCGATGTTGATGCACCAGGCTTTGAACACTCCATAGGCCTTGGGCAAGGGGACACCGGTGTTGTGAAGGCAGCTGGCAATCTTTGCTACTGAGTCTGGGCTCAAAGAACTCAATGAAAACATTGTCTTGGTCCCCTTTTTTGTATTCCCCCTTGTCATCAGTGACAGAGATGACATTGTATCCCACATCTGCAGCCAACATCCACTATAGTCAGACGGGTAACTAGGCCTCTAAGGGGCATCATGACGAAAGTGGGACCTACCTTAGAGGCCAGTTTTCAGCATAGCTACCACTGTGGTATGTACCAGTCTGGTATCTACCTGAGTGCAGGTATGTACCTGTGGCTGGTGGGTGGGACCCCAGCTGGCAGCCAGCGGCAAAAAATGCATTTTTGGGGCCATTTCTAGGCTGTTTTGGCTGATTGTTTGAGCATTCTACCAGGCTAGGTTTATCCATTTTTTGTGCAAAACTTTGATCCACATCATTTCTGAAGTGATCCCATCACGGGAACCATTTTGGATGCTGTGCTCCGACCAGTGACCCAATCACCCATCTGTGTAGATGAAAGTTGTTCAGTTTTGCAAGGGCTACAACTTTGGTTTCTCATCACTTTCTTTGTCAGCATCAATCACATACTCTACTGCCACATCAAATGGCTCTGTTTTTGATTGCACATCAATTTTTGATGGTGCCAATGATGCCAGTTCCAATCTCATCTTATCTTTCAGACCTAGATTGACATTTTCTGCTTACTCAATGGTGGTCCCTGATAATCAAATCCCAGAGAAATCTAATCTTGATGTGGCTGTGTGTGATTAGATCAATAATGTGGCACAGCTTCCATTTTAGGTTGCATGTTCAACTTACATAATCTCAATTGAACATATTGGACATGTGACTTCCTTTTGGAGATATTTTGATGCAACTTATAGCAACCCAAAAAGGAAATTCGCCTCAATTTTGCAATAGCGCAGGCTTATATTGTGGGTTTCTTCTCAGCTCTTTAGGATATATTCTCTTATGTGATTCCTTGCACTTGTGCTCTTCAAAACTTCTACACTGTTGTTTAATGCCTCTATATCCTAATTCTTTCAATGATACCCTACATAACTTTCATTGACAACACATACTTCTCTATACATATTCCTATTTATTTCTAATGTTTTATGCCTTTCAAGTAACGTGCTGCTGTCCTGGATTACATAGTAGAGCCAGCCATTGCATATATATATGGATAGTAACCATTGCCTACCCATCCTGCTTTACCACATAACCGGCTATTTCTACACCCCCAATTTACATGAGTCATGCCTTCATTGTTACAAAGAAGAGTTATTGAGATTAACATGAACATAGAAACAAAGAATACAGTGAAAGCAATGGTCACAGGTGGGAAAACAAAGTGCCCTTTGTAATGCAGGTATTCTTGTTTCAGTAACTCAAAGCAATGTTTCACTTTATTGTAGCAACCAATTCGAAGATTTTCCGCACTTCATTGATCTGAAAATGAGCCTGTATCTATTTCATTCAGGTGCATCTGGATTTATATTGCAAGGTGAATAGGGACTCTTTGGATGGGTTTCATGCTCTCTGCAACATTGCAATGAGCTTTCACAGTGATAATCTTCCAGATTATGACATCCATGGCAAGGAAACACAAAAAGACCACATGACATTGAATTAGTGCAGATCCAATAGTCGCGGAAGACAAAGTCAACAACAAGAATTTATATATAGCAAACAATGGTGTCTCAACCAATATCTTCTATACAAACAAAACCAACACTAATCCAATCACAACCAACAATATAACAAGTCAGAGCTTAATACGGAGTATTAAGATCCCTTGTAGCGACAGCGTCCAGATGGTGACGCAAAGCCCAAATATCAAGTCGACGCACTGCCAACTGACACAACCAAAAGTACTGAGTCGACGCACTGCCAACTAGTAAACCAAAATGCCGCGTCGACACACTGCCAACTAACAGCCAATATCCAATGTCCAAAACCCGAGCACAACTTGTCAACGCACTGCCAAGCAAGAAGTGTGGAACCAAAGTTCTCAAGTCGACGCACTGCCAACTGACCAAAACAACCCGAGCACAACTAGTCGACGCACTGCCAGGCTAGAGGTGTGGAACAATCTCAACAAAGCCCGAAGGTGACGACACTAAATGCCGCGACTAAACCAGATGCGGCAAATCCGACTTTCTGATGTCTCAACTCAAAACTCAAATCACAGTAGCTACAAGTGCTCAGGGAGCAACTCGTCGCGACCGGGCAGGGATGGCAGAACTTCTTAGGGTGGAATCACGCGGCACGCAAATTGTACAAAACAATCTGAAATGAGAGTGATTCACAGTCCGGGGGAAAGCTCCTTAATACAAAGAAATGACGTGCTACTTATACTGTCTACAACAATGCTTAGTAAAGTCCTGTACAACTGCATAGTAGCTATGCTATCTAAGATCGGTTGCCTTTTAGAGTAATGAAAAGTTGGACGACCGGACAGGTCCTGAGTGATCAGGACCCCGCCCCATAGTCCATATGATACTTTTGATGTGGGTCAACCCACCGCGTCATACTTTGGAATACAACGTGTTGGATTGGCCAACGGGTATGTCTTGGCAGGTAAGGCCAACGTGGGCACCCCAAGAAGCCGTATGGTCCTAGGCACGCCAGCCGTTCCTCACATGGTTTGGTTCACGGATCTAGCCCGTGTCGATTTTAGTGTGTTTGGGTATGGACGCGACTCGCCGTGACACTTGGAAGTGTCACCGCGACGCGTCCACAATGTCCCGTGATCGAATGGATCCTGACATGTGACAAGTCGTCGTCGTGACATGATCTGAGGAAACGTCCAACTCAAAACCAGGAGTTGCCGCGACAAGATTGGTTCAATCTTGTAACGTCAAGTCCTGTCCAGTAGTAGTCATATTATTGAGAACGTCGCATATTGCTCAGCCCTTCAGCCCAAGTTCCCATCTGCAGAGAATGACCCTTTTGAGAAGTCGCCGCAACAAAAGATCCCTTTTTGGGGAATTGTCGCGGTCCAAGCGTTCGTCACTAATGGCCCTGAGCCTGGTATTAGACTCATAAGACCAGTTCCACAGTAGTGGTCTGACTGCCTTGCTATCGTCGACACTATCCACAGTCGTTGACTGGGCAGTAGACCCTTAAGCCCTACTGAACGTAACACTGTCAACCGCAACACGATACACCAAATGGTTCGAGAGTAAACTCTGTAAAAAGCGCAAAAATACGCCCTTACAGAGCTGGTGCAGAGCGTGTCTGGTAGCCAGCCTATCACCGTCAATGTCAATTGGACAATTGCTGCAAGCTCTTTGCATTGTAACTTACACAGCTTTGAATGACTCTAGTCAACCCATGCCCATCAAATGCTTCTTGTTAGGAACATTCATCACCTCTTCCAACTGCTTCCTCTTCTCTACCAGCATCACACCCATCACTGTGTTCTTCTTTTGCTCCATATCCTGGACCCAGAGCAACAGAGCTTCATCAACTGTGGGGCAAGTGACCACGCGAGCGTGCTTCTGGGATTGAGCACCCAATATGTTTGCAACATAAGCCTGAATCTCATCCTTCTTCTTGATCTTCTTTAACAGTGCAGACTGTGTGAAAAGAAGCTTGCAGCTGTCCTTGTCAGCCCAGTTCCAAAAGTGATCCACCACCTGACATTGTGTCTGACTGGGTTCTTTGTCCATGTAATCAAAGATTTAAATCCAGTGAGAGCAGGTCAGATCCTGACCGCCATCAACATTGAGGCAGAGGCAACCAAGGTTCAAAAGTCTTGATGAATTCTTTGTACACACATTGTCCTAGGTACTGTACAAATAAATGCGCATTTTTGGCGATTTTTTCACGATTTTTGGACGCGTTACTGACCTACTTGGTCATATGGAATATCTGCCATATGGAATCAGGCTTGAGCGTCCCCTGTCAATATTCCATATGACCAATTCAACTGTGTGTGAAGTCTGCTCTTTGGACCCTCAATTGCCAGGTGTCCCAGTCCTGTACTGTGGTTGTTCCCCATATCTGATGCTTGGGCCTCGAGGTTGCCCCTACAAAAAGCCAAACTTTCAGTTGTACTCATCCATCAAGCTGAGAATTCCGAAGTGTGAATGTATAGGCTGGTAAAGCAACAATACACAGGTTTTGGGCAATCTTGGGTATAGGATGATGTTCAAACACTTGAAATACTTTGCATGAAATCAGAATCAACCTTAAATGCCAAATATATTAGATTGTGTGAAGTGACCCTGAACAGATTATATAGGTATAGAATATGAAAGTGTTGCTCCAAAGAATCAAATGAGAGGTAGATTATGTGAAGCATAGGTGAATTATGCGGTCGTTGCTCTCCTCCTGGCGAGGAAAAACACACGAAGTGATTAGTACTTGCCGCCAGAGATCTGAATAAGGGCGTCAGATAATCGATTTAGGGGTGGTATCAGAGCAGGAGAACGCACCTTGGCCTTGTCCATGGCGATCGCGTGGCCCTTGCCGGCGGAGGTGATGTCGAGGCCAGAGAAGTCCCACGTGCCAGTGCAAGCACCGCAGTCAACGACCAGTCCATATGCGTTGCTGGTACCAGCGACCGTGGTCGGAGAACCAGAGAAGCTGACGCCAGAGATGGGTCCGCCAGTTCCAGGCTTGCCGTTGTTGGCGGGGTAGCTCTGAGTGATCAGCACACCGTAAGAGCTGATGCCAGAGAGCTTGTTGCTGTTGGGCGTTCGGTCAGCTACAAGACCAACGGCTGTGGCCGCGACACGCACCCAGAGTAGAGGACATTAGAAACCTTGGCATTCGTGGCAGAAGCTTGAACCTTGATGCGGATCCCGTACAAGCTGTTGGTGACGGTGTTGCGCAGCGCCTGGAAGTTCGTCACGCTCTTGCCCGTGGCGATCGAGCCTATGGAGATGCCGTGGCCGTTGGCGCAGTTGTTGTCCTCGAAGATGATGTTGTTTCCTGAGTTGAGTGCCAGACAGTCGTCCTGGTTCTTGACCGTGCACGACGAGATCGTGACGTCGTCGGCGCTCACGTCAAACCCGTCGGTGTTGTGTCCGCCCTTGGAGTCGCCGAGCGCTGAATAGCCAGCCAATCAACACCGAGAATCAGACATGCAGATGCAGCGCAGTCACTTACAGTTGTCGACGGTGACATGTGAGATCGTTGCCGCACCGCCGGTGGTGCCGACAGAGATCGCTTGGGCCGGCGAGTTGAGGACAGTGAACTGCTGGAAGGTGCCGTAGCCCTTGACCCTAGAACACGATGTCACTACTGTACGCGCGCACAGAGCAGCAGCAGGGAGTCCACATACTTGATGAAGGGGTGGGGCTTGAACGAACCGCCGTTAGTTCCTTTACCGTCCCAGTAGGATGCACCATTGCCGTCGATCTTGTGGTTTCCTCCCACGAAGTTGATTGCAGGGGTGTTGAAGGTGAAGAGAGGACCAGGAGCTGTGAAGAAGTCAGCGCTACAGAGCACAACACTTGTCATCGAAGGACGAACTGGTCGTCTTTGCGAAGACGACATCGCCGGCCAGTGTGACGGTCGCGCCCTTGGCGGCCTGCAATAGCGCGTCAGATACGAGCAGTCAGGACAAGCCCTCCAGCGATGCGTACAGCAATTGTGATGGTGTTGCCTGCAGGCACCGTGAAGCCCTGGATGACAACGTTGGTGCAGCCGCTCAAGTTCTTCGAGCTGGCCACGCTGTTGACCGTGCAAGTCGCGCGCTTGCCGTTCTCGATGACGGTCATGTTGCTCGGCAGAGCGAGCGCAGCGCCGACGAGGGCAGACAGTTGAAGGAAAGTGGTGATAGAGGGCATGTTGAGTGCGATGGGGAGGAAGGGAAGGAAAGAGGAATGGGTGATGATGATTCCGGAATCTGCGTCCGCCCTATTTTATATCGCTTTGCATCACAGCCCATTCAGGAGACGGTGAGCTGCTCATCCACACCTCGGTCCATGCCGCCATGTGCTCAGCAGCGACTGAGTCCGAGCCCGAGCATCGTCAGGATCGTACGTTTGGCCGAGGATCAGCGCGCAAGAATCAATTCTCGCCCGTCGCAAACGAGGCTCCGGCCGCCAATCGGGCCCATCGAAGCGACGGTGATCTCTGCTCGAACTTCAATTGAGCTCGCTTGTGCAGCACACGCTGTCGGAGCTTACCACGGCTTGTATCTCTGCACAGCGCACACTTGATGTCATATTGAGGTTCCTGTTTCCCTGTTCTCGCCCGGTGAGTGCCCTCAGCTCGCACCACACAGAACGGATTCGGTTGCGATGCGACCGTCCAGATGCCATGTTTCCAGGGTGGGTAAACCCGGTCGTAACCGTTACGCTAGAATCCCTTCCTTTTCGAAGCGACTGGATCACATGTCGTAAGATATACTCATGCATTTCAGGATTGCGAGCCTGGCTCGCAGTGTCTCTGTGTCTGTAGCGGGACCTCTTGGCTACTCGATGCTGGTCCTCCGACCCAGCAAAGGGTGTCGCCTGTGGGTACTCGGAGATCGTTTTCGATTGTGCCTGATTCGACGCGTTTTCTCGCCGGCGACCAGTGCGTTACGAAGCGCAGCGGTCTCCCAATCCAGGCTCCGAAGAAGTCCCGGAGCACCCAGGGTCGAGACACCTCGCCTGCGCTGGGAGCAGCGATCCGGAACCGAGGCCAGGTGGGAGCTCGCTAGGTCGATCCTGATTTTTTCCTGACTGCCGAGGCTCAGCGCTGAGCATACGAGCAAGCAGAAGTGAGTGCCGGAGTTCAGCCACCATTCGGCGCGAAAGAAGCGGGGAGCGTCCGGCACCTCTTCGCTCGTTGGGATGCCTCGCTGTCAGGTCCTCTGCTTTGAAACGGCGTGACGCCGGGGTCTCATGCGTATGTATATGGGACTTTGTCGTCGATGTAGACAAGAGCCACAGGAGCAACGTAGCATTGCGTGTGCGAAGCCATGGGACGAGGGCGGAGAGAGCATGAAGCCCGTGAGCGCTGGCGTCATGGGGCGAGAACGATACTCATCGAGCGTGCCAAAACCCCGCTATCCTGTCTGCGATCTGGCATCTCATCCGAGCCATCCCTCTGCGGTTATCCGCGTCTTAGATTCCGGCAGCTTCAGTTCCAAATCAGAGGGAATTCATGCTTGTTCGTCATGAAATTCAGTCGTCCAGCAAGGGCTGCCAGTCATGCCTGGGGAAGATGGCAGTTTTGGTCGCCAAATGGGGCGCATGTGGCTATGCTGTGCTGCTTGTCCCTGCTTCCTGCTCATCTCTCGACTGCTCTCAAGAGCCAGAATCCTCTCCTCACCGCCGTCGCCGACCTCACAATGAGCGGACTCCACCCAGAAGACAAAGACGACGATCAGACCCACTTTCCGGCAGGTCATCGGAGGCATGTACTTCGAGCAGCACTCACGGGTCTTCCGCGATCTTCCCTGTCTTCCGTCGCAGGACAGCATCTTTGGCTTGTTGGGACAGTGGTTGACAGGCCGACCATTTGATGCGTCTCCCTCCCTCGGTTACCCTCCTTTTCCGATGGCGTTAAGGTCCTTATTCACGAAAGATACGAGGCTTTGATCTTCAAACGCGTGCGATGATGATGAAGGCGCTAGAATTGAGTTGAAAGCAGGGATAGTTCCTTCGAACGAGCATGTCGCGATCTCTCTCATGCAAAATCATTTTCCCCTGTAGGCTTGAGCATTGGTGGCGCGATGTGATACGCCCTTTCCCGAGAGTTGCACAGTCCTTGTATATCACCCCACGTCCCCATCGACGAATTCACACTGTTTCGTCACCCCGGTGATCAGCACCCTCCCCATCTTCGTCGCCATCGCACTCGCCGGCACCTCGCCATTATATGTCCGGGATGGGCGCTCGAGTACATCTCCCTCAGGACGCTGATCGCCGCGAGCAGGTAAACACACCACAGCACGCTGCGCAACGGCCAGTGGGCGCGACGCAGCGGCGTGTTTGGACGTCGTGACGTCGGGCTGGTCGACAGATAGTTGCTCGTGGTGTTGGACTGGGATCTAGGTGCAGGGGCGTAAGAGGTTATGATGCAATGGCGTGCGGCCATGGGGCTGCAAGCCCCGAAAATGACATCAGTTGATGCTCCGAGGATGGCAATCTGGCAGGTCTCGAATCCGGTGAAGCACAGTGATGCCTCGAGTCGTAAGCACTCCCGCGCTTCATTACGTGCGATCACACACTGAACGCGAAGAACGCAAAGGACTACGAGCACGGCCCCTTCCCTTTGCGCTCGGCTACCTTCGGCACCCCCTCGCCGCATGCCTCTGCCTCGAAACGATCAAATGCGTTTGCTCAAACTCACTCCAGATTCACTAGCACCTAGACTTCCATACTCCCGCTCTCCCGAGCTGAAGACAGACGGCTCTTGTCTCACACTTGTGAATGTGCAATGTGTCAGTGCGATTCGGCTGTGTTACGCCGGTGTTCCCAATCTCCGGCGTTCTCCCGGAATGATCTGCCTCGCAGCCAATCAACCACGAGACCGAGGATTGGAGAGCATTGAGTGCGGTTGGGATGGTTTGCTCCCCAGATTTCCGGCCTTAGGAATGCACTGCGCATGTGAGCGCTCTTCACAAGAACGAGGTTTGAGGCGATCAGGGTTTGAGGGACGAGCGGTCCGGATATCACGGTGAGGGAGCTGGAGGGCGGACCCGGAAAGGGCGATGAGGAATAAGAAATCGAAAACCTAGTGATCAGACGCAGTACAAAAGTTTCACAGGGACATACTTCTCGCTCATATTTCGAGACTGCGGCCTTGAATCGGATTAACGGATGAATGAGAAAGGTTGGCCCCCCCGAGCCAGGGAAACAAATCACTAGTCCTTCTCCAGCTCGTTTTCGTTCCGACGCCGATTCCCTTTTCTCAATGAAATTTCTCCAATTTCAGTGGGCAGGACCGGGTGTTTATACAATGATTGACGAGATCAACAGCTTTCCACCGACAGAAAACTGATCCAAACTCGTTTGAAGGCACACTGGATATCGCGGCTTGAAAATCCAACCAAACAACATGTTTATCACGGGCACTGAACTATATGAATTCATAACAACACTCGATCCGACTGGACTGAATTGACGCTGTGGATGTACTTTACTCTGCTTATTGTAGTGTTTATTGATAGATTAATTGAAACGAGGTAATAAATATGTCGGCGCCTAGATGCGCGGGGGTATGTAGATAGGGGTATGTGCATAGTGGGTATTTGGGGCTTGAAATGAGTCTATCGTGTGTAGTCTGCCCAAGATGTTCAGATGGGCACGTGCGAACCCGATCGCGACGCAGGCAACTCACCTGCTCTATTAGGCTCTTCGATTCGTCCCCAGAACGCAGGTGAAAGCTTAGGAGCTACATTAGATGTGGAGGCCGCAGCTGGTAGGCTGATGGAAGAGGGCGTGGAGCCTGCATCGTAGGGTTCGATGGTGAGATGGGAAGTCGTATACGGAAGAGTCAGGTGCGAACCAGCTGAGGGAGCGAGACTTGAGACCGGAGCTGCAATGACGGCCCTGAATGACAAGAATGCCACTGCGAGAAGGATGAGGATACGAGTTGTGAACATTGTGGTTCTGGGTAGTGGAAGAGGATGGATGATTTCAATACTGGACAAGATTGGGGACCAGCCTCTTATAGTCCTTCCCATCCTAATTTTGAAGCGGAGACTGAGCCCCAATTTGCCTGCCGATCATGGAATCCTCCTGCCGAGTCATCCCTACTCAGCTGTGCTCGGCCCGCGCGGTGTGATGCACCTCAGCTCTGGACAATGTAAGCACTGAAACTTGCGTGGGAGTTACAGCTTGGACGGAGCCGAGACAGGCGTATACGGATTTGGGGCGTTTCAAGGCGCAGGAGGCCGTTGTCGAGGTCCCGCGCCGTCTCATTCCGCATCGCCCACCGCGCGAGGATCGAGATTGGGCATCGCCGGTGCATGGCGACGAGTTGCGCTTCCGGACATGCACGGCATGAAAGCGGCATGAAAAATGAATCGCAAAGCAGCCGTGAAGGAGGCCTGAGAGAAGGATGGATGGGGTAACGGACGGGAAGAGCACAGAGGATAGCTGATCACGATCAGATATGCCCATCAGTCATCTGACACAGAAGTGATGCGACTGGATTGATATCAGCAGTATCTTATCTTGTCAGTTTTGCCTCCATAATGCCTGTCAAAGGAAGATTTCTGCTCCTGATCTCTACATAGTGAGAAATTCACGTTTATTTTCTTTGATTGAAAGGGACAGGTAGAGAGTGCGTGAAGAGGGATTGATGTTCGATCAGATAAGGTGGACCTGCCTTCACTTGGCTATGAATTGTCGACGTTTCGACAGCGAGCCTTGCTTTTGAAGATTGAAACCTTTGCTCAAAGAGGGGATATTTTACCGTTGAAACTCATTCTATGGCTAATTCTCCATTTCCTCGTCGCCGGACCATCAATGACTGACTGAAACATGGCTGACCAGGTCCAGGCACATCTGGTTTTGTAATGCCTTGGACTTTCAACATGGTAGAAAACTTCGCGACTTGTGGAAAACTCCCGTTTCGAGCGACCGAATCTTGACATGACCCCTGGACCTGCGTGAGTTCTTTGTCGCCCCTAGAGCACACGGATCTGTTGGAATTGATTCATTCCCTGGTGACATAGGTTACAAAGAGACCTGGGAATCTCAACATGAGCATTTTTCACTGATTCGATGGTTTTAGCAATGGGGTGGCCAAAACGCTATCGTCCTTCCCCGAGGCTGCTTCATCTCCAGAAACTTCCTCACTAGTTCTCAATCCCGACTCTTATGCGCCACCAAATACCCCGTCGCGGCAGAATCACAGATTCCGTCCAATTCGCATACGGAAGTCGTGGGAACGAGCGTCGGGTCGACCGCGCACGTGAGCGCCTGGCGCAGCTGACTGACGCATCGGGGAGCCAATTGATCTGTGGGAAAGCGCATATCAGACTCGTGCTTGTCTTTATCGCAGCAGGTTCAAGCAGTGCAGATCGGAGTGCAACCCAATGCTGAAGCACTTGCCACTGTAGTTCTGATCAGTAGCGTCTGATGGCGACTGGATTCGGCCGTCTGAGACAATGAGAGAGGCCCAAGCGGCGTCGTTGTTAGAGCCGATCAGATGTCCATACTGCTGCGAGTGATCACACAGCTGTGGGGGGGTCTGGAACTGCCAAATTGATAAGCCCATGCGCAGCCCGATAATGACATCGCCAGGACAAGCACCCATCACCCCTTGAGCTTTTCAACGGTAACCTACAATCGCAAGTCTCCAAATCTAGTCGCGGCAAAATACTGGTCGAATTGAGGTCAATATGTCCCTTGGGCTGCACACCCAACTCAGACTAATCATATCGCGCACTTTCGTGACAACGTCTGAAAGCAAGATGTTCAGAGCTCATTCCGTGGTTAAAGCGCTAGAACTGGAGTCAAATGTGGAATGATTTGTCTAGCTGAGGAAATGAAGTTCTACGTGATCTATGGTCTATTCTACTCTGGAGTGGCTGCCGTGGACTGAAATTTCCAGCTCTGTTTTTCGAGCGGCACTTCATGTGGCATTGCATGCGTTTAGACCTCCGACTTCTCGTCGTACGTGGCCTCGGGATAGTCCAAGTATCCGATCGACGGCTCAAAATCGCCCCCGTAAGCATGCGGCCAGTCCACCTCATTATCGAGCGGCTTTCCCACCTGAACCCTGCGTGCCAAATCCGAGTGCGACATCCAGGGGATGCCAATCGACACAGCCGGGAACCTCCCACTCCCCACCCACTCGATCGCCTCCGCAGGCGTGATCCCGCCATTGGGGATCATCGGCGTGTTCTTCAGAAATGGCGCGTAGGTCTCCAGTACGTCGTGCGGGGTCCCGCGCTTCGCGGGGTCGAGGAAGTCGAGATAGCGCACGATGCAGACGTACGCCAGTCCGAGCTTGTCGACCTCCTTGAGCAGGTAGCCGAACGTCGCAATCGTGTCGTCCAGCGCAAAGCCCATATCGTTGTACCCGCCGCCTGGTCAGCTGTAGTTAGCACGGACGTACGGACGGATGCAGGTTGAAAAAAGGGGACACGGACCAGGGTTGATCTTGAGCCCCACATTTGGGCCCCACACTCTACACACGGCTTTCATGATCTCGAGCGCGAACCGGGCCCGATTCTCCGGGCTGCCACCCCACTTGTCCTTGCGTAGGTTGGCGGTCGGGTCGAGGAACTGGTGGATCAAGTATCCCATGGCCCCGTGGACTGTGATGCGATTCAGCGATCAGTTGCGAACGAACGAAGCAATGCAGGTGGCGCCCACTTTCGAGACCGTCGAACCCGGCTTCTTTAGCATTTACCGCCGCAATTCTGAACAATTCTACGATCTTCATGGGGTCGGGGATCTCCGTCGGCTGTGCAACAGGATGAGCACACACACAGGTCTTTCAGTCACGGCTAGAAGTCACTGACGGTCTGGTAGCCCGGTATTCCGGGCAGGAATCGGAATTTTCCACCGGCAGCGCGAACGGCGGATGGGGCCCAAACGGGCTGCGATCCAGATCAAATTCGGCGACTGCCTCGTCCAATCCGGAGACGTACCTCTCCTGAAGCGATCTGATGGGGCGCGTCGGGGTGGCATGCACGCCCACCTGTTCACATGAGCCTGGGCTGCTGATCGGGGAGTTCTCGTCGAGACCTTACCGTGCATGATCTGGCAATAAATCCGCCCGCCCGCCGCATGCACCCCGTCGACGACGTTCTTCCATCCTGCGGTCTGCTCTTTGCTCCAGATCCCGGGCGAGTTGGCCCACTCAGTTCTGGTGCGTCATCCCGGTCAGCTGCACGATTTTCCTCCCGAAGGCAATCTGGTACGCACCCTTGCCTGCTGATGAGACTCGCCTCGGTCACGATCAGGCCCGCACCGCCCCGCACGCGCTGCACGTAGTAGTCCCGCATGATGTCGTTCGGGACAGTGTCTGTCGTGCGATTGCGCGCCATGGGTGCCATGACTGGTCCCCGATGTCAGTATCGCTGGCCCGAAAGGAAAACAACCGATGCTCACAGATTCGGTTGGACATGGTGACGGTGCCCAGAGTCACCGGGGAGAAGAGTTTTGCGATCGAGGCTGCAGTGTTTTCGGAGGACATGTTCAAAGTAGATGAGATTGCAAGGGATAGCGCCTTGGTTTATAAGCGCCGTCTTTTCTATAGGGGATCTTTGTGGCCCAGCAACGGGCCTGGCCAGTGAGGGACACGGTGTGCAGAAAGCTGACTGAGACGAGGAGCAGCATGGTCGCGTTGTGATGTGTAATGCTCGCTCTCCGTAGAGTCAGAGTCCAGCAATCTCGAGAGCTCCTGCCAAGATTACTCTTCTTGGCAAGATGACAGACGGATCATGATGCGAGTTCATCCGTTGCATCATTCATCACGACAAATTTTTCGTCCAGAGACAGATACATCTGACATCAGCAAGAGTCAGAGAGCAGCAGCCGGTGACAAACCCACGCCCGGGTGATGTACTCACACAAACTGCTGTCCGCTGGCCACCCAGCTTGACCAATTCGGCCCGCCAGAATCAGATACACCTCATAGGATGCACGTCATCGGACTCACTACATTGCTAGTCTGCTGCGTCAGCATCGCCAAATTGGGGTCATCCTGTCATCTTCCAAGCTGAGCACCATTTTCCAAGGCCCAGCCATCTCACATCGCGGCTGGTGCTTAGCAAGATCTTTCGAACGTGCTTCTTCATTCTGCTCCCCTCAGCACTCGCCCGACAGCTCTGATATTTATCCCTGTGCATCAGGTCACAGCGAGGCTTCACTCGCTCATGATCTCTGGCGCGCGAGGAACTTGTGCTGAAGAGATCTTCGCTAGCCTTTCAGCCGCCATCCGTTTTCGCGTCTCAAGAACGAGAACACAACCGCGATCGTAGCCGCAACCTCGAAAAAGAGAAAAGATGCATCCAGACTGTGTGCGCTTGTCAGCAAGGGCCCCCGCTGCTCATCTCATCTACTCTCCGTCATCGAGGCTTCTTCGACGTGAATGCGCGGGGGAGTTCCGGAGTACCCGGAACTTATCATAGAGTGCAGTGGAAGATTGAGGTCGCTCGTCATTCTTTGTCGGTGCGTTTCTTCACGGCGGGTAGGCAAATTTCAGTGCCCCGCACATATCTCCACACAGCTGCAGAAACTCTATCTAGCAAGCGTGTGTCATAGCTCCACTTCTTAAATTGTGCCCTATATACACTAGAGAAGGAAATCTTCATGTACTTCTAACGGTGCTAAGGTCTCTTGGCTGTCCGATGAAGTCAGCCGAGCTGTGTGGGCGCTAGAATGGGCGCATCGAGCACTGTCAATCTGAGCGCAAGATCATATCTGCTCTGTTTTTTGAAGAGTTCGTAGCGCTCATTTGTGTTCGAAGGAATGTACTAGTCATCCTCCCGGGGTGAGAGATTTTCCCCTTGGGGAAGATCAGCACGCAACGCGGAATACATCCGATCCCAAAGATATTGGACTCCTGGGATGCTGTCTACAATGGCTCTGATCTGTTCCGTTCACTCAATTCGGTGTCCATCATTTGACATTCATACGATAGTCTCACACAGACATATCATGGTCACCTTGCAAAAACAACAAACAATGAACACTAGGATCAAACGGAAATTAAAACGAGGTATAAAACAGATTTCTCAGGGCAAACTACACTCCCTTCGGACCGAGTCAGAAAAGACATTCCGGGTGTTACGACGAACAATCCGCATTCCTCCGGTTTTGGCTTTCCGAGCTGAAGCGGCATTTCCATCAATGCCACTTTCAAATGGACGGTCCCCCGCCAGATTTCTGTGACGGTGGTAGAGAATAGAGAAAACAACTTGCCCGTTATCTCCTTGTGTATTCCTCTCGTCAAGTCAGATGTTCGCCTAGAATCGACTGTTACCGAATCAACATCACGCGATTACGACTGAAGAGGTGAGAAACCACGAGGCGAGTATATTGACTCGCGGGTGCCCGGAGACCACGAGACCAGACGGCAAAACGGCAGAAAGGGGAATGACTGCTCGCAACTTCATGTTGAACCGGATGAGACCCAGCCTGTGTACAATGGACGAATTGGGTGGACGAGTCGGTCACGTGCCCCAAAATGAACCACACTTGCGTAATATGTGCTGCGCGATTCTCGGTTGTTCGCTCGGCTCTGTCATCGATGGAGGTCCCACCGTATATAACAGAGAATTGGATAGACTGTGAGACAGATTCTCAGATTACCTGCAGTCTCTATCCCAATCCCCACCTAAACAACCACCACAACGAAGACGATGTCGGCGACGAAAGCAACCATTCGCCCGGGTGTCATAGGCACCTTTTCGACGGCGGAAAGCCTGGAAAAGATGCGGGAACTGATTATTCGCGATGGCAAAGAGCATCACTGTTTCTCCAACGACCGCGGGCTTCATAACCACCTTTCCCACCAGTACGTCGCGCCATCGCCTGACTCAGATATACAGACTGACCAATGCACATCGTGTATCAGCCTTGTCGCAGCGTGTGACATGGGAGCGACCCCGAAGCAGCTCGAGGAAATATACGAGAAGGAGGCACGGGGAGAGCGTCCCATTGGGGACACTGGGGTTCCGGTGGACGAGATGCGATGGCAAGCGCGGCTGGGAGATCGGAAGTGCGTGCTCGCTTAATGTTTACACCGGATCCTGACCCTTTTCTAGCGCCTATGGTGCTTACCTCGTGTTCTTCACGGACCAGATTGCGAAAAAGGGTGTGACCAAGACACTCGAGGACTGGTTGATGGCCGCGCCTGCTAATTTCAACGGCGCGTCAATGTTTTCGCGGTTCTTCGGTGGCGCATTGCATCCTCTTCTCCATGTCGGGGTGAGCTGGGAACCAGATTCTTCAGGAACGCGTCTGATTTCTCATTATTTTACAGTTTGGCGTAGAACTGGGCCTGGACTGCCTGGTTGCTCAAGGTCTGGCCGCAGCGCCTTTTTGTTGTGTTCCGGAGATCTCACTCGAAAGTAGGGCTTGCTATGTGCGCCACAACCGAGGGAGACTTTGTGTCTGTTCTGGGAGACCACTGGTCGCCCGCGATGCCGAAGATCCCTGAAGTTCCTACCAAAGGCGTCACTCTCTTTTCACTCCTCCGTCAGGTGTACGACTCGCCCGACTTGGTACCCGCGTTGCCATACGTCCCGAGCGACGCCAGCGGCGCGGGGGTCTACCAGGTCCTCCACTCTGCCACCCGTACTCATGCGCTGCGCAAATTGTACTCCAAGTGGTCCATCGACACGACCTTGGAGGGCGCTGCCTTCGATGCCGAGATCGACAGACGCGTCGAGGAAGCTTACTGGCAGTCGGTGCTGCTCACCGTCGGTCTCGGGCGCACCGGCCGTGAGCCCCGGGTCGATTTCTTCCTGGTGCATGCCCTCACCAGCGCCATTGTCCTGCCACGCCTGCTGGATGTTCTACCCCAGAAGCTGCACAAAGTTCAGATGCTGCAGGGATATGCCCGTTCTTCCGCTTTGTGGGTCCTCGCACGCGGGCGGCCGCGCATCAATCCCTCGCTGCTCATGTCGTATCCCAAAGACCCGGCTCCCGCGAGCCTCAAGACCGACAACGCTGCAGATCCGTGGACGCCGGTGATCACCAACGCACTCCGCTTCGATGACTCGCACATCATAAAGACCATCCGCGCTTTGTATTTCGGACAGATGCATTACGGCAAAGTTGCCGCGGGTCAGGTCATCGGAACGTTTGACGAAAGCGGCAAGGAGACACATCCGGGTCTTGCGGAGATTGACGGTACGGTGTGGATCCGTGCGGCGGGTATCCTCCACTCAGCCCTCGGGTGGTCGTCGTTCAACAATGCGGCAGCCAAGTGGGATCGCAGTGGGCTTGGTTGGGATGCAGCATGGGAATAAGTGCTGGCCGAAATCTTCGACCGAGGCCTCAGTGCTACAAGAATGTGATTGAGCAAATACGTCTGAAATGATATACGAACGAACTCTTTCGAAATTCCGGATCTCTATGCATGAGGTGCATGTTTTCTCTCTTTTTGATGTGATCTCCTCTTCCAACTTCCAAGAGCAAGGGAACAAAATAGATGTTCCAGTCATTTTCATATTGAAATAATTCCGGATCAGGACTCATAAGAAGTTTTATTTCCATAAAACATCTTATCTTAAACACCAAAACAAGTTGTTCATGAGAATTGAACGGATGATCACATGATCGACACGTGCGATAACCGCAGGTCGAGCAGTTACACATTTGGCGGCACCTTTTCATCGAGACCCTCATCAATCTTTACATTTGGAGTCACCTCTGCCTGTATAGCTTCGTTTTTTAAATATTTCTATATCTAAGACTCATCAAATGCTTGTCTATCATGTTTGTGCTCAGCGCATTATGAATTTTCTGCTGGTTTTTTTTGGTTTTGGTTTCAGCTCCTTCTATTTGCTTTTGGTATGCGCTTCTCTGTAAATTTCTCAATTAGTGTTTTGGCAGAGACTAAGCCCCACTATTTATCGGCGTCGTTCATTGCCAGATGTGATTGTAAGGTCAGTCCGGAATTTCTGACAGAGGTTCAGCTATTCTTGTAGTTGCGATCAGAATTGGACGGATCTCCGTTACCCAGTGTGCGCAAGAGATTTAGTTCTCGGAGTTGCTTTTGCTTGCTTCTGACGTTTGGATATTCCTGCCTGGTGACATTTTGCCACGTGGCTGTGCTATACTGCTTGTTGCTGCTGTCCACCCATCCCTTGACCGCTCTCAAGGCCAAGATCCTGAACTCATCGCCATCCCCGACCGAGCAATGAGCGGACACCACTCCGACGATGAAGATGACGATCAGACTTACTTTGCGGGCGGTGAACGCAGGTGCCACGTCCTCACCCACCTATTGCGCTACCCCAGAGCACTCTAACGCGAAGGACCTAGCGGCATCGCAGTCCAGAACCCGGCACGCGGGCGGAGACCCGGGGATATAGTAGACGAGCTCCTGAAGCAAGCCGAGCGGTGCGCTATGTCTCGCTGCCTGCTTCGCTTATCGCTCACTGCCTGCAGTGAAGGCGCTGAACCTGCTCCCGACACCTCCCCGTCAACCCGATCATTTGCGTTCTCAGGTGGAGGAAACACAGTCGGGGGTGAGGGATCGTCCAGTCGATCTGTCCCTGCTGCACATGCGTCCACCCCAAGCCAAGGTAAGCCCATGGTACACGCCTCATCGCACCAAACAACCAACCTATCTCTTCATATACTCCAGAGGAGGTCGTTTCTCGATCTCTTACATTTTGGCGCAGTGGATTCACAGTCGAGGATGGGCCGTTGATGCGATACGACGACCCAGCCAACGCGGAAGTGCTTGCTTCCTTACGTGCCGGGTGTGTTCGCCCATCGATTGCGTCTCGCGACCACAGCTGATCTGAGTCCGAACCTCGAATTCTGTGCTTCAGCCAAGCGCCGCCCTCAATCCTTAACGTGCGCATCGGCCAGCGCGTCGATGTACATGTGACCAGCAAAAAGGACGAAGATTTCCGCCCAGGACCGTTCTCCGGCACGGGAAACCGACTGGGCTCTGCGACACCTGCAGCCACAGCGGTCTCGCGTGCCCCGCCTGCCTGTGCGTGCATTGTTTCCCTCTCATTGATACGTTGCGCCGCCTCATATGTGTTTGTCTTAGCTCCGCGCGGCAACGCCAGTCCCCGATTCGAGGTCGACTCTTCCCTACCCACGACGAGCATTCAGCTCCGCCTGGCCGATGGAACACGGATGGTGTGCCGGATGAACCTGACGCACACCGTGCAGGATCTGTGCAACTTCATCAACGCGTTAGTCTCGTTCTCCGCTGCCCCGAGCATTTGACGTACCCCGCCCAACCTGCTAGATCCCGTCCAGAGAACCGGACGAGGCACTACACCATCGGGACAACGTTCCCTAACAGGACGCTGGACGACATGGATGCGACGATCGAGGCTGCAGGTCTGGCAAACAGTGTTGTTGTTCAGCGATGGGCGTGAAGGTTGTTACGAGCAACGCACTGTACAATCCAAATGTACTATTATCCAGAAAACGCAGTAGTGCGTTGGCCTCTGAGGGCTGGCGGGCTCACCGTGCTTCGATACGATCTTCCATCGGCAAGCTTGAAGATATCTCACATCCAAAAGAGCCTGCACAGGTTGGGATAGCAGAGACGGTCGGAATGCATGCACGGACTTGAGGACAAACAAATTGCATACTGTACAGCCAACGATGGAAGGATAAGTAGATAGGTTACAAGTCCAGCTTTTACGCTCGATCATGAAGCGAGCTAGTTGTCATACGGGGTATCGTACCACGCGGTTGTCAAAGAGGTTTAGGCAGCGTCCCCACTCATCATCTTCCTGCCTTCCTCGATCTTCCGCTGATCATGCCGCATCCGACCAGACAGAACCTTGACCTCTCCACGCAGATTACGTATCCAGGAACGTTTTGGCTGCGAGGACAGAATCGAATGGTGCTGAGGCTGAGGCTCATCCAGACTCGCTCGACGGGGCGACTCGGGAACCGGACCGGAAGGAGAAGCGAAATCCACACTGACGCCTTTGGCGTGTCCAGTCGCCCCATTGCCATTCGAATCGCGTCCGTGCTTGCGGCGGAGTGTGAAGCGGTGGTGCGTAGGCAGGTGGTGCGGTGGTGCGACTTCGGGGGACGACGGAGGTGAGAGCGTCGTCTCGCGGCCAGAGCTGCTGCTGCTGGACGACGTCGACGGCGATACGGGGAGGGGTGGCTGCGAGGTCTGCGCAGCTGCGACAGGGGGAGATTGCGCTTCATTGGATTTGGGTACGGAGTTGACAAATGCGGTTGCGAAAGGTGCGACGCTGGGAAGAGCCACTACCTGGCGAGGCGACTCGGGACCCGAGGACTCGACTACAGGTTGCTGCTGCGGCGTCGGCGTCGCAACCGCGTTGGAATCAAGTGTTTCCGCTCTGACATGGGGCGAGGCAGCCTCTACTGAGGCGCCTGGAGTCGAGGGTTGGGAGGGGGAAGCATGTGCTACGTCAGATGGAACAGGCGTGGTGGAGCGTGAAGATCCGAGGAAAGCGCGTGTACTAAAGTCGCTGTAGACCGTTCCATCCGTGTTCAGAGAAGGAGGATGAGGCGTGTGCAGTGAATCTTTGTACGGACCCGTGCCCTCTGTCTTCTTCGACTCGGGGGCGGCTACAATTCAGAATGAGACTCATTAGAGCTCAGACCATTCTATAATACGCACAGATGTGGGCAGAAGAGAAATACGACGCCGGGTTGCCTATGTTGAGGTTCTGCGGCAGGTAGGATTTAGCCGTCGACAACAATCCCATTCCGTTAGCTTCAGAAGCTGCCGCGCCCTGCGGATTCTTGGCTGGCTTCTCCCACGCGTTTGTCGCGAAAACAACGCTGTCCCTGGGATAGCCTCCGGGGAAATCTGGTCCATTAGAGACGCGACTCGAGAGAAGCGGAGCTTGGGGCGGTCTTCGACTCGAAGCCATGCTGTGCAGAGGGGGAGAAAGAAAGAGAAATGAAACGTGTGCGCTGTAAACGCATGGTGGGGCCGTTTATAGCGCGTCCAGAAGATTGTGGGGCTGGCTTCGATTATGACGTCAAACGCTGCCACCGGCACGTGGAAACACGATCACGTGTTGATGAAACCATCGAAGAGATGGCTCGGTCCGAGTGCCGGAGCAGCACTGCCTGGTGTTTATTATCATTCGCTGCCGCTTGCGTCTAGCTTATGACATGATACATCTACTTATCAAGAGAATCTCCGATAACTGCTGTCTTTATCTACATTCACAGGCCCCCGGTCACCATTTGCCACGGTAGTTCGCCTGCAGCGGGTAATTTGCCCCACCGGCCTGCTCGACATGCGTTAGATGTTGGACTAAGATCACCCAAATCTGGACCATTTCTACGTTTTCTACATTTCAAATCTTACTATCTACAGCCAGTAACGAATCCATGTTCACGCCACTATTATTTCTCAGCGGCACAGAGGGATTGTGAATTACCTGAGCTGTTATGACTCTCAGCTCGTACCGGACGTCTGGATTCGCAATGCCTCTGGCGCGACCAACGACCCTTTTTCCCATTCGTGCCGTTCTCCGCGCTGTGCCGTGACCATTTTCGGGTGTTGCTTTGGATTATTCCGAACCCCGTGGTCAGTGGACAGTCAGAGAGGGCATTGTCGGCATTTACTATCCACTTATCATGGCGATCTGCGATGGATATTCTCGTGTACTCACTCAAGGGGAGCGTTTTTTGTAGAATGGAAGTTATCTCAGGCTGATCCTTGGACATACCGGACCCGCAGCCGTATTGTGGCCTAATTGGGAATACTTCCGTATGCGATTGAGGAATCTCCGCCTTATCGTCGTTGAGAAAGAAGACACCGCTCGCTTTTGCTTTCATGCGTTCCCTGCCAAACGAAGCACAGTGGGAATATCCTCTCCAGTGTTCGTCGAACGATCGCCGCTCTCGACCAGCTTCCTCGCCTACTGTCAAGAGCTAGTTCGGATCAGACCGGCGCAGAGAAATCGCGTTCACACACCATGCGATTTCTGCACCGAAATGCCCTTATCTTGAGGAATGCCTGAGGCAGCAGAGCCCCACGAAGAATGACTCAAGCTCTGCTTTCCAGGCGGAGATGCTGGGAACCCTTTCACAGCCTAATGAGCGTCTGTAATTAATCCCAAATGCGGGTACTCGGCCCGACCTCGGGGACGGGGACCTGGACCTGGCACACATCAAACCACAGCCGAGCCGGACCGTATCGCTGCCATATTCTGACTTGCCTCCTACGATGCACGGAATAAAAGGCAGTGGCAATTCCGCGGTATCTTTCCCGCCACTTTCCCCGCCATGACTCGCCCTGCACGCTGCTACCCACACGCTCCCTTTCCCCTCCATCTCACCGACTGGGACAGCCTCGATGTCGACGGAGACCCGTATCTGGTTGACGCGCCGTGGCGCTATTTTGAGCCGTTTCTACGGCTTCGCGGTTACGCTTTGTGCTGGAGGTACTACTCACGCGACTGCCCGGAGACACCTTTCCTCGGCAGGTCCTTCTACTATCCGCCCGCCGCCGACCCCTTCCGGCCGCGCGACGGCGAGGCGTTCGTGCAGTTGGTGGACGTCCAGAGCGAGGATGCGTATCAGAGATGCGGAGTGCACCAGACGACGGGATGGCTCACACCGGTGCGTTCTCGAGTGGATCCTCGCGTGCCGAGCGCGGAAACTGATTAGTGGCCCAGTGCCCGACTCTAAAAATGGCGTATGACACACAGAGCCGCGTGGTGTGTTGCTACCCTCCGATGGCCATCACCCTGACTGACTGGCTCCTCTCCAGTGCGCCGTCAAGGCGCTGCATAACGTCCGCAATCGCGCGGAGATCGACATCATCACCTTTTTGAACTCGCCGAAAGTGCGCGCGCTCCCCAAAAACCACACTATTCCGGTCTTGGACAAGATCGTGACCGACGACTGGACATTCATCGTCATGCCGCACTGGTCTCGACCCGTGCAAACGAGCATTCTCTGGGAGGTCGAAGATTATTTTGACCGGCTCATCCAGGCACTCGAGGTGAGCGCCAGTTCGGGGCACCGGCCTGCCAGCTCCGGAATTCGTGTAGGCTCATGCATCCGCTACTCAGGGACTCGCCTTCTTGCACCGGCACGGCATCATCCACCGCGTGCGTGATCGATCCATCAGTGGCGGCCCACGAAGCTCGCACTGACCACTTGCGCAGGACATCTCAGTCGGGAACCTGCTTCTCAACATCCACTGCGGTAATCCGGGAGTGTATTCATGCTTCGTGCGTCGGCGAATCGCGCTGGCGTATATCGATTTTGGCTGTGCAGTACGCTTTCCGGCGGGCTCGGACCCGGATACGTGGATGGGAACCGGCCACTGGGGCACAATGGATCATGCTGCACCTGAGGTGCCACGCGCAAATGAACCGGATGCAGGAAGGCCGTACCACTTGGCTCCGGTTGACGTACGTTGAGGCTGTCATTGTCGTCCAGGGATCGTCGCTCATCGGTCGTGCAGGTCTACGCCGTCGGCTCTGTTTTCCTTCGAGCACACTCCTGGGAGGAGAGCTACTGCAGCGTACGTCCGGTCCTAATCCCGCTACCTTGGGCCTGAATGAGACCAGACATTTGGGAACCCTCAAGGCCGGGAAACCGCCGCTCACCAGGTTCTCTCCACCTTCGTCCCCGGCTACCTCGCCCTCTTGAACAAGCTGACGGCCCGTGATCCGAGTCACCGACCAACAGCGATCGCCGCTCTTCGGGAAGCACGGGCCATCCGCGACGCGCTTCCGCTCGAGCTTCGTTTTGCACCGAACGGGTATCCTAGTATAGAGCACATGAACGGGTATCAACGCCCCTGTGGTGCAAAATTGCACAGATAGTAGAACTCAGTCTCCGATTTCGGCGTACAAAGTAGTTCATCCAGACACTGTATCAATAGTCATCCCCTTTCCCCGGCATCCACTCATGAGCTGCGTCATCGAGAGGTTCTTCAAATATTCTCGGTGAGGCTGGCCGCAAATCTCAAGTCATTGCGGCAGACAGACGGACCAAATAGCCACACTTCCCGACGCTTCGTGGCCCTGTATTCACGTGCGATTGGCCTCGTTTGGCAGTTTGTGTCCGTGATGACATTTCTCCGCGCGTGCCGTAGTCTTACTAGCCCTTACCTTGGAATCTCGTCCGTCCGGGTGCAACATCCAGATCCTCGCAAAATCCACCCGCACCAGCCTCAGCCCTACGACCCGCATTCTTGGCCTGCTCGGTGCCCCGGATCTCGCAGTCTCTGCGCACATCAGCTGATTCAAGCTCAATGAAGCTCTTCTTGCCCGACGGCAGTGTAGTCATCACAAGCCTAGTTGACGGAGACGAGGTGGCATGGGAAAGGAACCCAGTTGGGAATCCATCCGAAGAACATTCAGAAGTGCAGAGAAGGCAAGGGTTTGTGGCGAGGTGCTCAAAGGATGCACAAAGCAGCGAGCCGAGAAAACGATAATCATCCTTTGTTTTGATTTCCTTCGCGAAATGAGAAGCTACGCGCCCCCGTCTCAGTGAGTTTGGGATCCCAATCTGCTTCGACGTTAAATGAATTGCGCCACAAAGGAAGATCGTGGAAAGTGAATCCAGGAATCAAACGGTTGGACATTGTTAAGTATACTCTTGCGGTTCTCATGTGCTTCTCCCGTGGCATGCAGTGCATCTGTATTCTTGGATTTCGTCTCTATGTGCGCAGACGCTGACTGAATTACGCCACAGAAGAAAATCAAAGAAAGTATGCAACATCCCACAGGTCATCTTTTCAGGTTCATAACCTATCAGTTCTACCACATTTTTCTGCCGCATGCATTACATCTCATTGCTTAGTTTTTGTTTATTGTTCAGGGTGGAGCCAATATGTACATAACATCCTTCAGCAGCTTGTCTCAATGTGTGCAATGTCCGATTGGAAGCTATCCAAACAAGAAGGAATGTACTGACCCAAGAAACACCAGTAAAATGTCCCGGGCCGCCATCGAACCGTTTACAAGCCTCGTGTCCAAGTGACCTTCACGCGTGTGCACACAAATCTTCTGATACTTGGCCAGACCAGCTACGGTTCATGCAATTCTTAGCAAGTCCTGGGACGCAGAATCTGTTGAATCACCAACGTCTGTAGTTCACTTGTGAGCAACGGCGTCGAGGCCAGCCTTTTTCCCTTTGATCCAACAGAGTCCAGACGGTTTCGGGCAATCGGCAGTATTCCTTGACTACACGGTGGAGCAGCGCTACTTGTACATTTGAAATCTACCACTCTTGATAGCAACATTCCATCTCAGAACCAGTTTCTATACTTGTCGAACCAATCCAACGACGTCTTCGCGACGATCCTCGCACACTCCACACCCCCGAGCGCGTGGTTCTCCTTGTCGAACCAATACATCTCGACGCCCTGCTCAGGACTTGAGTTTCTGGCATTGCCCTTTACGGTGTGATAGAACTCCAGCCCATGGCTTGGGGTGACGCGCAAGTCCGAGCCCCCGAGATGCATGAGGATGTGCGCTTTGACTTTCTCTGCATGAGCGATGGGGGAGGTTGGATAGATGCGCAAGGCCGCTTCCGGGGATCGTCGCGGCGGGAGGGTGGTCCGTGGCTGCGCTGATACGTCAGGAAAGCCTTGCGGCAAAGAGTATATCGGATAGTCGATCCCCCATTCATTCGCGTACTGGCGCACATTGAGCGGGGAAACACGGCTGATAACAACCAACTCACCCAGTCAGGGATATCTGATGACATTGCCTCCGTCGTAATGACTGGATTCCGAAGCACTGCCGCCGTGAAGAAGTCCGGGAACTGACCAATCACTGCCAGCCACATTAGAAGGACATCCCCGGCAAGAGCCACTCTCGGACACGCACGATGAGCCGTCAAGAATCCGCCGTGACTCCCTCCCATGACAAATTGTTTCCCTCTCCCCTCAGAAGACAAGCCCAGCTTGACCAAATACATCGTGGATGCGATGCAATCTTGCACGTCCAGCTCGCCGCAATGCCCTAACAGCGAACGCAGGAACGTCTCTCCTTGACCCATCGATCCGTGATAGTTTGGCTGCGATACCGTGTCTGTGGATTTCTTCGTGAACAATTATCCAGAGACGCGAAAGGGGAGTCGCGTACACCCCCCAACAGCCAGAGCTACTGTTGCTGCATTGAAGGCTGTGGCCGTGGCTCCGTGTGGGCCACCATGGATGAAGTGGATGCAAGGTGGGATGGTGCTTCCCACCTTCTTGGGGTGCATCACCACCGTCTGCATCCCGCCCCGTTCCGGGATAATGATCACCGTGGAAGAGAGCTCCTGCAATGCGGCTTTAACTTGGAGACAGAGCAGAACTATCAGCCAAAGCAGTCCAGGAGTAGATATGGCGTGCACCTTTGTCGCCGAGCTTCGGTGTCTGCAGGACCTGACCATAAACATCTCGGATTGTCGAACCAAGTCGCAGAAGCACAATCTCTGGTGGAACTGCTGGGGCACTTCTCGAGCAAATGATCTGACTGCCGCCGTCCGTGCCAAGGACGCTCCAGTGATATAGCCTCCCATCGACATCGGGAGTGAGATCCTCCACAGTGCCCGTCGAGAGGGACACAGCCAAGACGGTACCACGAGACCCCCATGTCGAGCTCAAGACGATGTAGTCCACCCCACAAGCAGAAACAAGACACGACGACTGAGCCAGGTTTGCATCGGGGTACAAGCCTGGAAAGACGTCCGCAGAAGAAGGCTGCGCCCACACAGTATCTACGAGAACGCGCGTGAGAGAGCTCAGCTCAGCGTCCTGCTGCACAGGAAGCTCGAGGGAGTTGAGCGCCGAGGTCCCTGCGTGTGGCCCACCCGAAGCTGTCGAATACCAGAAGAGCAGTGTCTTTCCGCCTCGGTTATACGCCCGCGGCGACCGACAGGATTCGTTCCCCGGTGTGAGCTTTCTCGCTGTGTTTGCCTGCAGTGTGATCTCCCATATGCCAGCAGCGCGATTGTTACAGTATACCGGCCCCAGAAGTCGGCCATCCCTCGCGTACTCGTATCCGGTGGCATAGATAATGGAGGAATCGATGGGTGAGAAAACGGGCTCGCCGAAAAGAAGAGGTAGACCAGTGCTGACGCCGGCACTTCCGCCAGTCGAGTCGTCGGTGCCCCATCGAAAGACGAAGATGGTCGGACGTTGCTTGCCACTGTACGTCTCTCCCAAAGTAGGCTTGAGCCGGAACTTTTCCTCGGGCTCAGTGGGCTCCTTGCCTTCCGCGACGTATGCGAGGGCGGTGTCCAGGGGAGAGAACGACAGGGCGGAAAACATGGCTTCCGGCGCCGTGAGCACTCGAACGGATATATGAAGGACCACTCACGGTCAGCATAGAACTCGCCATGCGTGTCTGTGACCTCAGTTACAACCTCCAGAGCATTGTCCTTCCAAATCTCCACGAAACGTTTCTTCTCGCTCGTCTGCCTCAAGATGGCTTGCCGGCCGTACGAAATGGTGCCGAGAGGCGCAAAGGCAGACAGCACGATGTCCCCGACATCCGCGGCAGGGGTGACAAACGGTGTGTCTGTCGAGAAGACGATGGTGGAGGTCAGAGAGCGTTTGATGTCGCGCACATTATCACGAATTTGATGAGTCACTTGAACAGCTGCGTGGCCGGCGAGTCAGAGGGACAGGTCGACGGGGGTGGGGAAGTTGAGTACCAGATGAACTAACAAATTGAGCGCTCTGTGGAATGGGGATCTCTGAAAGCGCGTTGTACATGAATGATCAGGTGTAAACAGAGGCGTAGACGACTTGTTGACCTGAGAAAGCGTAATGATTGGACGATATGCAGGTAATGTATGTAGGTGGCTCGATAACATTAGATATGAAATCGGCAGCGATCTAGTCTAATACACGGGGAGTCCCACTCAGTCCTACTCCCAGTCAAGAAGTGAGACGCCTGAGATGGTGGAGTGCGCGCATATGCGCAGCCACCCGGCCGGAGGCCACGTGTTCAGAAAAATCACGACATCGTCGGACATCATCTCATTTCACCGCCACCATGTCCTTCGCTAATCTTGTTCCAGAGACAGGTGGATGCTTGGGGCGGGCTATAACTGTCACACGACCAAGACGTCGTGTCCTGACCGGTGTTCTCGTTCTTGACCTTGGGCTTCTCGCCGCTTGTGATGACTTGCGCAGCCTCAACAGCCGAACCGCATTCTCTAATTGCCAACCACCCGTAGTTGAGAAATCCAGTGGCCATTCCTGTCAGAACTTAGGATTCCAGCTTTGCGAACTCCCCGATCTCGCACTCATGATTTTGCACAGAGAAGAAATAACATGACCGAACGCCTGGGAATAGGTTATCGTTGGCAGCACGCCTGCTCTGTAAGCCTCCGCGCAGCCCGATGTTAGGGACGGCCATCGCTGAACTGCCGCGAAGCTTGCTGCATGGTTTCATCGATAAGATCCAACCATCCTTCGGTAGCGAAAAACGTCAAGTCCCGCGCGTCACCCGGAGCTCAAGAGACTTGGAACCAGAGCATGAAAGTGTTCGCACAATGACCTTCGTTCCAGGAATCTGGCCCGGATGTCGAGCAATGCAAGTTTCTGGTATCGTATCATCGATATTTCATGCAAAGGGCGCTACACAGAAGGGCGCATTGCAGGCGCAACCTGACGGTAAGTTCATAATCAACAAACGGAGAGAAAGAGTACATCGGGGCCAGCCCGGTAAGCGACCTGGTCCGGCGAGACAAGATCTGTTACTGAACTTCTAGCAAATTTCAAAATCCGTCAGTCCAGATTGCATGAATGATTGCGAATCTCGAGATCCGTCAAGTCACAGATAACGCAGACGGGACTCGGCATAAGCCACTTTGCATATGCAGCGCGACGCTCACGTAACGTTCTGCTCCAAACGCTCGCGAGGCACAAAGATGACTACAGAGTCAGTGGAGACAAGAGGGCACCTTCGTCGCCCTGATACTTCGCGCCGGGCCGGTTCGACCCGGATTCGAGGCTCTCTTCTCATCCGACTCGTCGCTCCATCATGGGCTAGGTTGGCAGCAAAACAAGGCGAGAGCATATTTTGAAGCTTACGTTGTCAGCTGTTACGATCTCATAATCGAATTTGAACGGAGTCGACGAGCAATCAAGAGACGTCCATAAGCACTCGCGAGACAACATAGGGTCGTCGACTCGGAGTACAGTGGGATATGGCCATTCTACTGGCGTTTGTCTTGATGAATCCTGCTTGTAGAGCCGCAGAGCACCGACTCGAAGCTACGAGAATACATCGGCAAGGGACTGCGTTATTGCGGATATCGAATTTTCATGTCAAATTTACAGCTATCCAACTTGCGACGTCCGGGCGAATGATCAGCGGTAGTTCGGATGGCAACACCGAGCAGCGACGCACTCAGCCGCATCCAGACTTTGCTGATCTGTGCAGCACTGAGTCTGGACCAGCAGTCCGGTCGATGCCCGAGCGACTGACCGCCCATGCCCGACGGATAGGTCCCAAGCGCCTGGCCAAGTATGCTTGTAGAGGCCGAGCCGGTGATGTCGCGACACGGGTGAGCGATGACAAACTTGGATCTTCCCCCAAGTCCTTCTCAAAGCATGGACGCGCTCGGCGTGAGGACTGGAAGGCGTTCTCTGGAACGTGTTGTCGGGATCGCGGACTCGCTGAGGCCGGGATGCCGGGCTGCGGGGTCACCCTTTACTATTTGTCTCCGCGAGTTTCGCACGATTCTAAATTCGTTCCGTTATTCCAGTCGCGTTGAATGACGGAAGCGAAGCGATTTTGGCGTTAGCGTGGACCGCTGCGGCAGTGACCTCATCATGATCCCAACACCGAGTCGTTCTCATGACAATCCGCAAGAGTCGCAGACGTTGACTCCTGGGAGAGGACTGCCAGAGCTCCGCTGGGTGCGTCACTCACCGACGATACAGGGGAATCAGCTATTTGCAATTTCAAGCTTAAGAACGATTCATGTTATGGAAATGAAGCCTCAGGAAACAGACAATCGACAGTGCGAATCCGGGCCATATCCGTTCGTAATCGATCTGATGGGTCCCGGAGGGCGGCATCTTCCTTACGTTGTCTTACGACGCTCAATTAGCACAATCCCCAACGAACAACTCGGACTCTGTGTCCGCCAGTCAATGGCGGCATGGTCCGCAGCATCGACCGAGGGTAGTTTCATTGTTGCCGGGCTGGAGGAGATCGCGATTTGGATATAAAATGAGGCATCTGCGCTATCGACAACATATCTCTCTCCTCTCATCCTGCTCGAGATGCCTGCAATCACCACTTTCCTTCGTCTTTCTGCTCTCGTCGGTGCAGCACTCGCGCTACCGAGCGACGTGAAGCGCACGACGTGCACGGTCAACAGCGTGGCGAGCTCGACCAACCTGAGCGGGTGCTCGGACGTCGTCATCCAGGGCTTCACGGTGCCTGCGGGTAACACGATCACGATCGCTGTACGCGTCGCTTTGGTCCCTGATCTCGACTCGAATCCTCTCGGCTGACGCACGATTGTACCAGGCTGCACAGGGCGCGACGGTGACCTTGGCCGGCGATGTCGTCTTCGCGAAGACGACGAGTGCGCGGTTTTCTTTGTCGTTGGGTGCAGTGCGGTCGTGCTGACTTGATCGCAGCCGCTGGTCCTCTCTTGACCTTCAACACCCCCGCGATCAACTTCAACGGAGGAAACCACACGATCGACGGCAACGGTGCGTCGTACTGGGATGGCCAAGGAACAAACGGCGGGACCTTCAAGCCGCACCCCTTCATCAAGTATGTGTGCAATCGATCTTTTTTTCTGTAGAGACGCGGAGGTCTCAATTCGCGCGCGCTAGGTTCAAGGGCTACGGCACATTCGAGCAGTTCACCGTTCTCAACTCGCCGGCCCAAGCGATTTCTGTCGGGACCACTGGCGGCCAAACCAACATCTCCCAAGTCATCGTCGACAACTGTGAGTGACTTTGGGGAAACTCTATGCCTCGGTGCTGACTTGCTGCTCAGCTCTGGGTGATTCCAAGGGCGGCCACAACACCGACGGATTCGACGTGAGCGCCAACGACGTCACGATCTCGTCCTCGACGGTCAAGAACCAGGACGACTGCCTCGCGCTCAACGCGGGGAGCAACATCGTCTTCGAGGACAACACCTGCGCCAACGGCCACGGCATCTCGATCGGCTCGATCGCTACGGGCAAGAGCGTGACGAACTTCCAGGCGCTGCGCAACACGGTGACGAACAGCTTGTACGGGATCCGCATCAAGGTCCAGGCCTCCGCGACCAATGCCAACGTTTCCAACGTCCTCTACGACGGGTGCGTGTCGCGCGTCGCGTTCGGCACAACCAGCGCGTATGCTTATTTCCCCACAGCAACACTTTGACTGGGATCACATCGTACGGAGTCTTGATCACGCAGAGCTACCCCGCCAACAACGGCACGCCGGGTACCGGTGGACCGATCTCCGACGTCCGCTTCACCGGCTCGCCGACGACGGTGTCTGGAACCAGCAACGCATACGGGCTGGTCGTCGACTGCGGTGCCTGCACCGGCACCTGGGACTTTTCCGGCCTCCAGATCCTCTCTGCGGGCAAGGGCCACACCCTCGCTCTCGACCGAGCAACGGTACGTTCAGCCTTCTGCATTGCGTGGTCTCGATTACGAACCAGTTTTCTGACGCGAGTACAGCTCTCGGGTGGCAGCTACTAAGTGCCCTGTTCTCGTCTGCGGCCAGTTCGAACGCACAGCACATGGCTGACCGCTCCTTACATTCATTACATCCTCGCCTTATAATGTTTTAAATATCTCTACATAGTCGGCCTCTCGGTTTCTATCAGAATCTAATCATTGCTGTAACCCACGTCGAGCGAGCGCGGCTATCCTGGGAGTGCCAGAAGTGTGATGTTGACATGACGCGCAATTCGAACTGGAATTGATCTCGACCTTCCAAGGTGAGTTGCACACAAACCAGGATAAGATTAGCCCCGGGGGTCGTTCCTATCTTCTAGCCATTGAGGGCGACAGTCCATCACATCACACTCCAGTCAGTGAGTGTGCTGTGTCTAACAGGGGCCCATCAGAAAAGGGGAGGCTGTGCAGATGTCTGTCATTCGAAAGTAAGTATATATCTACCCGTTTCTGGTCATGCCACATCCACGAGCCACAGATGGCCAAGCCTCACGGAGAACGCGGAGAAGGAGCCCAGAGGCCGCAGAGCCACGATTTCGCGAGCGATAGCGCAGGAGGATCTGCCAGGTGAGTGCAGCGGTGGCGAGTCACCTCGTCTGCTGTTTGCCCTGACCACTGCGTCCGTGGCATGTTTGACAGTCGAGTATCTGGAGAATTGGCACGGCTCGAACCAGGCTCCCCTGGTGAGCCCACTGCTTCCCCGCGCAAACACGAAGAACGTCGAATGACTGACCCACCGAAATCACTCGACAGTCCCATCTGATTCTGAAAAGCCTGCGTTGCGCACCCTGACTTTCTGGCGCACTGCACCCCAGGGACCTCCAATTATGACGTAAAATGGCTTCGAGGCCCCCTCCGGAGGCCATCAAACCACCCCCTACCCCCCCTGATCGGAGGCCATTCTGGAGGCGCCTTCCTAATTGGGACGCTGCCTGGCCATTTGTCCACAGCCTGCATGGTACTCAGGCGTAGGCTGGGGATCGGCCTTGGTACTGATATATGCTTCAGTAGTCATTATTAAGTCTCAGAAACTGTCTTAGCTCCCAGAAGCCTGTATTTACTGCTCGCAAATGGTGGGCCACTGGGCACCCAAAATCTGGGATTTGAGCGCATTAGCATGGCCCAAGTGTATGAGGCAAGGGGATGTGTATTCCTGCGAGATTGAGCATGAAAGACTGGCGTCTGCATACAAGATTGAGATGTTATGCAAGGGAGGGATCACGGCCTCCACGTCCTCCCAGGGTCAGAAAGAAAAGGCGTTGGGTAGCCCACAGGCGCTTGAATTACCTTCAGTAGATCAATTTGACGCTTATACTCTCTAAAAACAACAGTCAAGCACGTAGATCTGATGCCAGCACTGATAGCAGAGATGACCTCCATGGCCTCCACAGCCGGGGACGAAACGCGGTTAGAAAGCGATCATTGGGGATCCAGCCGCACGAGACATGTCTCTAGCATACCAAGTCCTCTTCTGGATGATGAACGTCCTCCCGCTGGGCAGCCCAGCCGGTAGATCTGATGCGGGCACCGATGGCAGATATGGCCTCCACGGCCTCCACAGCCAGGGACAAAACACGGTTAGAAAGCGATCATTGGGGATCCAGCCGCACGAGACATGTCTCTAGCATACCAAGTCCTCTTCTGGATGATGAACGTCCTCCCGCTGGGCAGCCCAGCCGGTAGATCTGATGCGGGCACCGATGGCAGATATGGCCTCCACGGCCTCCACAGCCAGGGACAAAACACGGTTAGAAAGCGATCATTGGGGATCCAGCCGCACGAGACATGTCTCTAGCATACCAAGTCCTCTTCTGGATGATGAACGTCCTCCCGCTGGGCGGCCTAGCCAGTAGATCTGATGCGGGCACCAATGGCAGATATGGCCTCCACGGCCTCCACAGCCGGGCACAAAACGCGGTTAGAAAGATCCAGCCGCACCAAAAAAATTGAAGACTTCGGACAGAGTTTTCCCCTCGCATTCAGTGGCTCGCACACCATGGAACATCGTCAATGCCCCGCTGAAACGTCTGGCCAGCCCGCCTCCGGACTTGGCCTGTCTATTATGTACACTCCTGTCATTGTTTTTACTCTTGCCCTTGACGCTCTTCCCCTCTGCGGACTACACATCTTGCAGACTCAGTCCCGATGGCATAGGCTAGGTCACCGCCCAGAGGTCCATGGCCCCGGTTTCCATCGGCAGTCTCCGCAAACCAATCAAAAAATCCATCAGCCGAAAGGCAAAGTCGGGCAACCGAGGGATTGGCGCACACTCTACTAGTCCCGTGAAACCGGGTGATCCACGTCGGCAAATCTTATCAGTTCCTCTTGGCCGCTTTAGCCTCGCCACATGCCATCACGATGCCGATCCAGATGTCCTCTCACCAATTCCTGGTAGTTCTTCCGGTTTGGATCAATCCGACCCCCCTTTGGAGCCAATGAACCTTGAATCTGAACATTACTTGTCAAATGAGCCACAGTCTCGGCTGTTGCCTCAAGGCGAGTCCAAATCTGTTACCTTGGAGGCCGTGGAGGCAGGACTATTGGGCTCTGACTGTACTCCAGCAGCATCAAACGGGCTATCATGTACTTTTGTCGAGGACGTTCATGCTGAACCACGACGAGATTCAGATCTCCTCTTTGCCCAATCCTGGAAGCTGCTGCTTCCCTCACTGGTTGACCCATTACTCACCTTCCGCCGAGATTCATTGGGACGACCACCCTGTCCCATTGGCGACCAGCTATCTTATGAATGTAACGCTGGCTGCATCAAAAAAACACAAACGCGAATACGTTGCCTGTTTTTCTATTGTAAGTTTGTTTGCAATGTCTTCCAGTTTTAAAGCCTTCTAATGCAAACAGATTTTGAAAATATTGTCGTTCAGACATGCCTGTGTCTCCCAATTCCTCAACTTCTTGTCCGTCATGGCCTCTTCCCTACCTCACCATCACGTCCTCAAGTTGCAATATGTATCAACATGCTCGAGGCCTATCGAGCATTGTTCGAGCGATCCTGTGATGCTATTACAGCTTTCGCCGCTGCTCTCCGAGATATTTACTCTCGTCGTGGATTCGAAGCTCTCTCTTCAAGAGTAAGTCTTTCCATAACTGACAGACCTGACAACTCACTCTTCTAGAACAAAAAAGAGCGCGCGATTGACCCTTTCCGATCGGGAATAACTCAAGCCGTCCAGTGGTATAGCAATCTGTCGGATGAAATTGGCACAAGGGCCCACGCCCATCTGGAGGCGGTGGAGGCAGTCACAGTCAATCCTGTCCCAGACAGTCCGCTTTTAGAAGCTGGATCTGACCGCGCCCCCCCCTCGAAACTGCAAACAGTTTCAGGACTTTTCCCAGGACGTGCTAGTCGGTCGCTACGTGAGGCGTGTCCAGCCTGCTTCGGGTGTGAACTGTGGGGAAGAAAACTTGAAGAGTGATATAACCTGCTTTTTTGCGCCGCAACAGTAACTGACAAATCATGCAGGGGCGGTGATGTGCAGCTTGGAGGCGATGGCTGCATGGGCTATCGTCACCTCTGTGCTGCTGGTGATAGCCCAATCTTCTTCACGCCGAAGTTCTTTGTCCCCGAGGCGACTGTGAGGCAGGTCCAGCTGCGTATTGCCGCAGCTCGCAAGCAGCCACCGAAGCGCAATGTAGTCCCTGCTGTGCCACCTGAGGTCCTGGACGCATGTGAACAGTCGTTCAAAGCTGCAAAGGAGAGGGACTCGAGCACAACCTCCCGGAACTTCGACTCTAGTGGCATCTTTGTCCTGGCCTGCCGACATTCACAAGTAATTGCAATGTGCGATATCTACACACCAGGCGAGCAACAGCATTACATTATTGCTCTCATCGAGCGGGTAGCATCTCTTCTCCCCCCTCAAGCCACTATAAAACAAGCATATGATATTGGATGCGTTCTGGACCGAAGTTGTCAGCTTGTAAGTCCCTCTGCCTCCGGTGCCTCCGGTGCCTCCACCGCCTCTTTCTATTTCTCATTGGAGCCAATTTTTAGTATCCACTGCTCTCGGCGGATTTGCAGCCACGAGTAGAGTTTGTGATCAATGCCATGCACTCATTTCGTCATCAATGGTCCTGTCAAGTCCGGTACAGTCCACGAATGAATGTCGGCATGGGCATCACTGATGCAGAAGGCGTGGAACGGATTTGGTCACGCACACGCAAATTGATTCCAATAACCAGGAATATGGGGGTAAGTTCCTCATCTCGTGTGTGCTCAAATCCTCAAGACACACCTCAGGCCTCCAGACGCATCTGGATGATAGACCAGTATGTTGGATTCGTGAATGAGGATGGTCTAATCGAGCTCGGGGCCTGGCAAGAGCGCCAAAGCACCGTGAATCTATTCAAGAAGGCTTCTGCTGCCCATGCAGCATTGGTTCTCGGTTCCATTTCCGAGACAGACTTGCGCAAACATTGGGAGGATCAAAAGAATGTGCAAACCTCCGTCCGTTCAGGTGTGTACAAATCACTGAGGATTATACATCAAGCTCACCCTCATTAGCCCCTCCAAATAGACTCCGACGAGATCTTGAGAAGGTCATCACTCTCCAAGGGCAGATCGATTCTGTAGATGAAGCAATTTTGGATGCAAAAAAGGCGATCCTGGCCTCGAATCACTCTCAGAAATCTCGAAGGGTTCTTTCAGACCTTCAGGCTACACACTCCACGCTGGATGCCCAAGTCAACCGGCTTTACGGCTCACTTGATCTCAATGAAGATTTCCCGAATCTTGCTCATCTGCCAATCGAGTTCCTTCACACCTTGCTTCTCATGCGTACCTTGAAGCCTCACATTCGACGTCAGGTCGTGGCATCTTTTATGGAATGGGAGGCTCTGGACCAAGCAGTGAACGGCAAACGGGAGGCTTTGGGTAAGATTGCCTCCACTGCCTCCGCGCCTCCACTGCCTCCGTCATCACGTGCTAAATCCTTGCGCAGGGAACAGATTATACCAGAACATCAAGCAGTCCATTTCACGTAGACAGCCCGCCCTCCTCAAGCTCATTTATCGATTCAATGGCTATGTTATCAAACTTTCGGAATGTCGACCGGCCGACTGCTCCATACCAATCCCTCGACCTCTTTCCACAAAGCTGGCTGAGCTGCGTAGCGACCCTGGCCTCTACGAAGACGTCTGGATCTCGACTCGTCTGGAAAGGCCTCCAAAGTGGCTCACAGATGAAAATGTTCGCGACGGAATCCAAAACATGTTGGTGCTAGACCGCTGTCGGGAAGAAGTGAAACGCATGGCACTGGAACGAAGCAATATGAGATCATGGATTTCTCATGAGCTCAACCTTCTTCGGAAAGCACTCGACTTGCCTGGAGGTGAGCCACGTTGAAAATTGGGACACATGAGATTGACACGTACATGGTATCAAGAAACCTTGCTCAGCGTCCCATTGCTTACACGCAAGAATCACCTCGAATTTGTCTCCATCTCCTGGGAACGACGTCTCCGACGCTCTGAGCAACCCCGCTTTTCTGCACCGGTTATGCCACCGGTTAGGCCTGCCTCCAGCGCCTCCACTGGCCCTGCGTCTCCCTTTGCTTGCATCCCGGCTTCGAGACAAAACAACTCTCCGCATTTCACTATGGATGATCAGCCTCAGTCCTTCGGATCTCTTCCTTCATGCCCTTTGATGACCAATCCTCTTGTGGGACACACCACAGCCATTGTTCAGGAGGAATCAGAAATTGCTGTGGATGAGGACCGCGATTCCCCTCCACCTAGCAAAATCGAAGATAACTCTGACACAGACAATGAAAGTGTGGGATCAAGCGATGGATTGAACGCCTTTGTGTGGAAAGTGCCGGTGCGTAATTCCTATCCCCGCAACTTGATCTTCAATTCAGTCACACACACAGGCAAATCTCAGTATGGACTCTCAGTTTGCGACGCATTTAAGGATGCATAATCTGTCGCACCATTTCATCCGAGTGAACGCTACTCGCAAGGTTGTTGGCCTCCATGGCCTCCGGAGTGCCGATCTTCAGTGTGACGATATGGACCGAGTCCTCCAGAAGACCGGACGGCTCAATAACTTTGCTCTAAATGGATTGGCAAAGTCTCTGTTCGGGATCTTTGCAGAGCCACACTCTCCATTCTCAAATCAAGTTCTGCAATGTGCGCTTTTCAGCACCTATGATCTGGCTCGGGTTCAGACCCAGGCGAGTGATCAAGATCTCTGGCGCAGCACAGCGCAGACAATTTACTGGCGCAAACGGCTATGGGTTGTTCCCATCCACCGGCCGTCGCAGGAGCACTGGGTTCTTGCAGTCATTGACATGTCAAACTTCATCATCCGTGTCTTTGACAGTCTTGGTTCCCACAGTGGATGGAGCAGGGATTTAGATGCATGTATCTTTCCTTTTCGCTCCTCCGCTTGAAATGACCTCAGAGCCGCAGGACCTTGGCAACATGGTCTCCCGCCTTTCAGCATTGGCATCTCAAAACCATCCCGAAGAATTCACGCCTCTCAAAGAATCGCAGTGGACCGTTTTGCCGATTTACAATCAGGTGCTTCAGACCAACAGCCATGACTGTGGCGTATGGGTCCTCTGCGCAATAGCTGCAACCTTGAGAGGATTCGACGCTCCCTTCCTTACAGAAAGGGATATTCCAGAAATACGCTCCTTATTCTTCGAACATTTCCTTACATTACCCCTTTTAGCTCCGGAAAAGCGAGTCATCCAAATCCAGGGAGGCCATGGAGGCCGTGGAGGCCGTGGAGGCACTGCAACTATGTAGCTCTGATCGAGTTTTTGAACTTCAATTGTATCCTTTTTGGCCTTACCAATCAGAATTAGACTTCTATTTCCCAAAATCTGTTGGACGCTGATTTTTAGACTAGCGAATGTACATGAATAATGGTGTGGAGGCCCTGGAGGTTATCCGCACTTGTTCCTGTTACGCAAGGAATTTGCAGCCGTAGAAGTGTACAATGTTACGAGCCACCCATTGCTGCTGATGCTTCAACATGGCGTGCTGTCTTGCATCATGTAAAGGGTCATATGTCCCTGAAGCCTCGAATGCACAGAGCACCTCCCATTTCTTCCACCACCCGGCCAACATTGCTCGTACCTCCGCAAACAGTTCCTCTCTTTTCTTTCCATCACCAGCACGAAGGAACCGTGAGTGGAGATCATTGTGGCGGGCTTGACGCATCTGGAACTGCACACCGTGCATTGCTGTTTCCAGCGCTTTCGTAAAGCCTTGGTACTCTGCAGAATGACGCTCAAAGTATGCGTCATCTCCAGCAAATGGGGGCTCCGCTAGCCAGCGAGGGAAATCGCTTTCATCGACTGAGTCTGGCTCATCTACAACACGACGGAATAGCGCGTTTTCTGTCGGCAGTGGGATCTCTGCGAGAGCCAGCATGAGACCGTTGGGGGGCTTGTCTCCGGAAGCAGCAGGAGGGGTTGGATCATTGGATCCCGGGCTTTCCCCTAGCTTAGACCTTGCTTTGCGGTCTGCCCGCCGCGTTTGACCACTATTGAGAGAATGTAAGTGGAGTCCGGTGAGCAAGAAATTGAAGCAGAATGGGCTTACTGCTCAGACAGAGCATATTTGAGGCCCGAGATGCGTTGTGAATCCTTCTTTGCGGCCAATGTGAGGTGCCGAGCTCAACGACCCATTTTGACGATGTGGTCAGAAGCAAGTTATACAAGGTATTCACTAGCCTGCGACACCATTCTGTGCATTGACTTTTTTTCGAATGAAAGACCTTGAGAAAACTATCAGAAATCGAGGGGACAGTGAAATAGAATTGAATTTCAAAGGTCCGAAGGCTCTAGGACTCTCCATGGTCTCTACAGCCAGGTGAATATGTTGGTTCGATCGTTATTCGTCTGCTGATTGGCGGGATCTTTGCTCTTGGCAGACGTAAAGCTATCCCAGCAACTGAGTTACCGATGGATCCGCTCAAGGACACCGATCATGTCCTGTCAGAAACTGTCAAAATTTGATCTCGGCAATGGATTTACCGGAGATCCGTGCAAGACACCGATCATGTCATGTCAGAATCTGTCGGAATTTGATCTCGGCAACGGATTTCCTGGCGATCCGTGCAAGACACCGATCATTCTGGTCACAGTTACCGGTCATATCATGTGTTTGTGACGAGTCGCATTTTTTCTCTCTCACATTCCCCATCGTCTCTCTTGCACAATCCCTCTCGCAGGCCTCAGATGCCAAAAAGCAAGAAAAAAGGTTAGTCATTGCTCACAAATGGTCGATTGTTGAGCTCAGAATTGTGCTAGCACCCACCGCGCCACGACAAGGCCCTTCGACGCGCTCCAGGACCGGTGGAGCAAAACAAGTCGTCACTGCGCCAGCATCGGCGACCGCGGGTCCATCGGACCATCCCAGCTCGATGGAAACATCAGACCGTCCCGCCTCGATGGAACCATCAGACCATCCCACCGTGATAAATACCCCAGGACCATCCGATCGTCCTGCCTTGACTTCCAATCATCCCACCTCGATGAGCCCCGCAAAACAAGCAGAATCATCGGAGGATACTGCAAGACCGTCAACGAACGCCGCTGAACCCCAGACCCCAGCCGAACCCCAGAATCCTACCGCAGAACCATCCGACCATCCCCCCTCGATGGACACTGCAGAACACTCGCAGGAGCGTGTGGAAGATCCCCTCCCCGACGCAGAGATGTCCCTCGCTCAGATCGATTGCATAGACAAAGAAGCGGACGGCAGCCAGCAGGAAGGGGTGGGTTTGGATAGTGGTGAGATGGGTGTCGAGCTGGAGGATGATGATGATGGTGAGGGCGAGGTGGAACAGGATGAAGAAGAGGTGGATGAGCTCGCAACCACAGTGTCATCGCCGGCCAAGGCTTCGCTGCTGGAACAGACAGGAGGAGGATCACCGTGGCAGGAGGCCACACCACCTTCCCATCTCCCTCAGTCTCGACTCCGCTCCATCGTCACGCCGACCGCCAAGGCCTCCGCCAGTTTCCTTGCACAGGATCGTGTCAGGAAGCCTGTCCCAAACGAGATGCCCGGCACCCAACCTCCGGCAGCCCAGCCTCCACAGGCTCCTCGGTCGCCTCCTGGTACTCCTGGTACTCCAAGCCACCCCCTTTCTTCCTCCTTGATGCCGTCCCCTGCCCAGCAGCCCGAGCTTCTCCATTCGCTCACCCCCACCCTCGGCCATCTACACAACCCCCAAGCTCTCGAGAACGCCGGTACCGAGATGAGGGACGTCCCGAATGCCGATGTGTTCAATTCACCATCGCTTCTTTCTTTCGATGATGATGCTGGAGGCGCTGGAGGCGCTGGAGGCAGCAACTCGGTTTCCAAGCACAACGACACCCAATCCCAGAAGCTGTCGCAAGACCAACGCGACCAGCTTTTCTCTCTTGCGGGTCGAATCCTCGAAACCATTCGCTTCGAATCGGAGAAGGTGCAATTGGACCACGCGTTCACTATGGATTACGTCTGAAAGCTGCTGACTGGACCCCTTCTCCCTTCGAATGCCTGGAATCTGTATCAAGCGTTCGCGTTGGATCCTTAGAATCTAGAGAAGGAATCACGGTGTGTATTCAGCAACGACGTTCCTCTGGAAGAGTGCCGTGCTCACTTCCAGTCGGGGCATCGCCTCAACGAGGCTTATCACGGCTGGCAGACTGAGACTGAGGCGGCAGGGAATGATCCCATCGTCGTTCTCAGACACTGGGAAATCTTGAAGCAGCGGGACGTGACAAAATCGATGGCCGAACGCGCCAAACGCTTTGTGCGTACATCTAACGATGTGAACAAGATGGTAAGTAATGTTACATCCATCTGATATCATTCGTTTCTCACAATATTTGTAGCTCTTGAAAGTGGAAGCCAATGGCTTCCAATGTTTCACCATCGTTGTTGGCGACTGTGGGCAAGACGATGCGGCACTCGGAGAAATCATGGCGACCTCCGGCATGGCTGAGGTACGATTGCTGCCTTCCAGCTCTTTCGAAAGCTGACTTCGAACTCTTTCAGTTCCCGGTCAGTCTGCAACGATCAGCAGATGTTCTGTTCAATGCTGCAACGGAGTGTTGCACGTGGGTCTTTTCTTTTTCATTCTTTCTTGTGCATGAATCCTGAAAACCGGCCAGTCACTTCAATCTCGACATGCACTACCGGGTGATTGAGGGAATCGAGATTGGCACCACGGCCACCAATTTCAGCCTTGCCTCCGCCGCCTCCTCTACCTCCAAGTTGGGTGGGCGGCAGTCACTGCCCAACCCTGCTGCCAATAACACTTCCGCCGAAACCTTTTCGCAAATTGCTCAGAAACTCTCACCGCATCTGGACAACAAACGAGGTGACGGCTTGTTTAGTCGGCTGCGGACGGCACTGCGCAAATGGAGCGAGCGCAGTCTTCGCTTCGACATCTTCGCTGAAACCAAGAACGGCTTCGCTTGGAATAGTCTCGCGTCCGAGGTCCTTCTGATGAAGCACGTCATCATCCTCGGTTATCCCGACCACGTCCGACTGCCTCCGGAGATGAACGCCAACAAGGGTCTGAACGACTTTAGGGTTTTCGAGTGCAAGGCGCTGGAAACTCTTTCCAAGTCACCAAGGGGGCTCATAATCATGTCCTCTCCAGCTGAGCTGAGCCCAGGTACGTCGCATCCCTCCAGGTTTTGAATAGCATGTACTAATTCTATTCGTTCAGAGGATCCAGTAATCTACTGCCACAACTATGATCGCAAGGATCTGCCAGACTCGAGCGATCGTGACCCGAGATACCACTCGAATGGAGACTTCACCCTTGGGCTCAATGGGCACAACCAGCTCATTGCCTTCAGGTTTGACCTCATGCGGGCTCCCCCGTATTGGGACATGACGGTGCTAAAGAGAGGCATCAGCTCGAAGAAGGCGGAGGTCATTGCTCGTATCCAGGGCGCTCGAATCAGCTCGCCTCAACAACGCCGGGTCCGGACGCAGATCAAGACGGAAGGGTCCACTGGACCTTCCAAACGCAAGCGCAACGCTTCAGGCAAGGGCAAAGGCAGAGCGGAGAGTAACGTTGAAGGTGACAGCGAGGTTGAGAGCGACGTGGAGGAGAACTCAAGACCAACGCGACGAGCTCGAGCAGCGACGAAGACTGCGGAGGCGGTGGAGGCGGTGGAGGCGGTGGAGGATGCTGCGGAAAGCTCGGGAACAGTGAAAAGTCGGCCATCGCGAAGGACTTCTCGCAAAGCGACGACGGCTGCTGGCAAGCAATCAACACCGCAGTCGACTGCAAAAGCTCGTAGGGGCCGGAAGGTTGCGACAGCGGATTTCGATGAGATTCCGCTTCTCTCCGCGCAACAGGTCCAGGAGGGGGGTGGAGCGGCGATGATTCTGCGGCCGAGGACGAAGGGGGAGCCAACGGGCAGGCAGAGCGGCGACAGCTCTCCATCGGGGTCCGAATATTCTGGACCAGAGTCGGAGGAGGAAACCGTGCAACGGGAAATCCATCGCAAAGCGTCACAGCCAGCGGCCACTTTCGTCCCAGCTTCGCTGCCGAGATCGACTCCGCCCAATGCACCTCGAGCCGAGAACGCACCCAAGAACGTGCCAGGAGTCTCTTTTGCCCAAACTCCCACCCCGGTGAGAAAACGGCAAGCAGAGCGTGCTCAGTCCGAAAGCCACACCGCCAAGAAGCAGAGTATAGGAAGTGACAAAGGTCAGTTTCTGTATTTCATTCCCTATGCAGCAGGCTGAAATGATACCTAGGAGAGTCTGGCACCAAGGAGGCCAGTAGCAGCAAAATATCGGCACCAGCAGCACCCGCGAGACCGGTCCCAAAACCTCGGCGTGCGGCAGCAACACGGTCATCAAGCATGGCGGCTCCAGCTGCAGATGCAACACCTGCGCCTCCACCGCCTCCAGCCCCTCCCAGTTCCTCAGAGGCTGCTCTGCCTGATCAAGAAGCCGTCCCTTCGAGTTCGACATCGATGAACGTGTCAGCTGATCAAATTCAAGCGTTGGTCACACAAGCACTGCAAACCATGCTGAATGACGGAGTGATTCAGATGACGGGTCACTGAATGTCATTGGAGTCGTCATCTACATTGCTGGGGGTTCGGTGATTTTTTCAATCTTTTTCTCTTTCCTCTTCAGCTTGCTTATTGTGTTCCGCAGCTAAAATAAATCTTGTCATATTACACTTGTCTGTCCAATATCTTGTACCATCTATCATAGTGTCAACATTTGCAATCGAATACGTGACTTTTGTTTATTTGGAAAACAATGTGAACAATGGCAGAGGTCGGGACTGCCGACTAGTACTTGATTGTTCTAGTGATGGGTGGTTGTGGAGGTCCCCGAGGTTGCCAAGCGTCACTCCCCGTCTTACTGGACTGGAACGACTGTGAATATCACCTGCATGAAAG